TGAAACTTCCATTTCACGCCGGTCTTCTGTGATTTCGTGGTACAGCCCTGGACGTACCTGCCCATTCGTACAATAGTGAAGACTCTCGTGGCCCTAACACAGTTAATGATGCGCAAGAGTACAAGTGAATATGTCTCAAGGGAGGCCGATGTTATATAATCTCTTGTTCTTCTGTTGCCTCGTATCAACTGATGTTTTTGCATTCAGTCCCGAGACTATTAAAGCTTCATCTGACGCAGAACCGGTGGGTTAGCCAGAACCCACGGGTTTGGGCCCTCCGCTATGGGTAGGGCCGCGCATGTGCTCATGCGTGCGTTTAACTATGGTTTGTCATCTAAGGGCCATCGAGGTCGCGGTTTGGACCGAAACCCCGATGGCCGTCAACTGTGCAATTAGCTAATTCTTCTGTTTCTCTATATCTTTTGTTTGATTGATTTGAATTGTTGAAAAATTGACCGTACATGACTTTTGTTAGATTTTACGTGTCGGATGCTCCATTGCAATAGGAAATAAAAACAATTCAGCCAAATGCCTCTCTTTAAAAATACTTATAAGCTATGCAAAAAACTGTAATGATATGATTCACTGTCTAGCTCTAAACTCTCAAATGAAATTGTTGTTTACCGTAGGATAGTCGCCGGCTATAATAATTTTGTCGCCAATATCAGTTTCTTCCACAATGCATTTATATTATATATATATACAATACGCAGTTGATAAATATCTTTGTACAGTATCTTTCATCGATTTAAGAACTGTATAAAATGCCAAGTGCAAAATTTTACTTTGTTATAATTTTCATATATCTCTTTCAAGAATTTTTGTCAAATAACGAAAATCTAGATTGATGATTTTATTTTGTTATGTGCATTATCTGCAATTTCAAAGACTTAAATCATAGTATAATTTCCTCCAAAATACCCTAAGATATTTCGATATTTATTTTGATACGCCTAAGCATTATATACGCAAATCTCTGCAGGTTTATTTCCCCGTGTCTCGGTGACCCAGGTTTGTGATTTGCAACAAAGTCCAACAGTTAAATAACAATGCTCAGCAGCATGCCAACAAGGCCAGGTAGCTTGGACGTCATCCAAAATGCTTATTCGAAATAAATTTCGTCGAGCCGCCCCCGTTGAATACGTTTCGGTTGATTGTTAAGCCACAGTATGTTTATCTATGTTAATTTATGTACTGCATCAGCTGCGAGTGGTTTGTAACGTTATGCAATTACACTAGTAATTAAAATACATTTCTCATTAAAATGCTTATGATACTGATGTTCAAGAATAAACAACAATTGGCTATATACACGGTCAAGGGGAACACGACATAGGGAAGAACCACAGCTTCACAGAGTGTTAATAAAGTTAATCATGTTAATAAAGTTATAGTAGTTATAGTTTCACGTTCGCGTTTCATCCAGTGAGTTTGATAACTGGAAGCCAGAGACACTCATAACACGGATACAGTTACCGTTTTTTTTATGTGAAAAGTTGCCACACGAGCAGACGGTTCACCTGATGTTAAGTGAATACCGCCGCCCATGAACATCTGCTACACCAGAGGGTTACAGATGCGTTGACAACCTTTTGAAAATTGGGCTCCGGCTACCTCACTCACCAAATGAAACGCGAAAGTATTTGTCATACTTCCACTTTACGCTGGTCTACTGTGAAGTCGTGGTACTTACCTGGTCGGGCATGGCCATTCGTGCAACAGCCGAGGCTGCTGCGTGGCCCTACCACCGTGAGATTGTGTTATGAGTGTCTATGGGAGGTGGTCCTCACAAATCAGGCGAACCACACTCAGTTGCTGTTGTAATAAAAAAAAATATACATATATATATATATATATATATATATATATAATTTTGCAGGTGTCAATAATTAATGCCCCATTCCGAAAGGCCAATCAAAGCAGCAATCACATAACACTATGTCAAAAATGATCAGCTGTTAATCTCTTGTTAAACTGCCTTGGGTTTCTGGAAGGTTTGTTCAAGAAAAATTAGCTAATCACTGTATAACCAACGATAATGAATGAAATGAATGATTTACTTCAACTAACTCTTTCTATTGTATAGCTGTCCCTTTTTAAACAAAACTTAAATTAACGTCACTATCCAGTCCTGTCACCGTGTGATTGCCAACGTAAAAATCCGAGTATAATAAAATTTAATTTATATAAATACATGCAAAATGTCAAGAAAAAACATTACAGAAGGTGAAAAAAATGAACTTTTATCCATAATAAACAAGTAAGTATTATAAAAAGAAAGAATCCATATTATTTATTAAATTTTAAATTGCATTTTCTATTTTTTCTAATCGCATGATATGTTCGCATAATAAATAGGTAATAGAACACATGAATTTCCTTATAACGTATTAGGGAATTATGTTTATTTCTAATAAAAACTAAGATTTTTGATAAAATACATTTTTAACCAACGATTGATCGTCCAAATTGACAGATTACTTAATAAAACTTTTGACAGCTCCTTGACCACCGAAAAACGCTTTCAGAAACTCGATTTTCTGTTGATTGTCCGTTAATCAGTGACTAATTGCAAATCAAAATCAATGTTGTTTTCAGACGTTCAACTCAGATCATGTTAAACAACGTTTGACAAGAGATTTATCGTAAATTAAAATTGATGGCGCTTTCGGAAACTGGGTGTAAGCGTTTAACGTTGTGACACGACCTTAATTGTGTTTTGTACAACATTTTAATTTACCACATTTTCTTAGAGCTTAAAACCGCCTTTGTAAAAAATTGATACTTGACGGATGTGAAATATATAACATACTGTATTGGCTTATTAAAACAAAGGGCATAATTCAGCAATTTGACATTGCTTGTAGTCTAAATAAAGTAACGTGGCCGTCCTTCGTACCTACTACTGAACTACATCTGTTCTCGAAATTTCTTACCCAAGAACCAAAAGCGAAATATGATGTTTCGGAAAAATATCGTAATTTTTTATCTGTTATCCGTTTAAGAGCTGCTTCATCAGCCCATGGGCCTGCGGCCATTTATAAAGTTGGTTAAAAAGCAAAAGATTCTTTCAATGGAGATATACAAGCCAAGCTAATGCATAACTAGCATGCTTAAAATTTGTTATAAAACACACAGACTAGATCAAACAATAAACAGTTGATAATTTAATTTAACCGGTGAATTAGATTAAATTCGAATGTAAAGGTAGCAATTAACGGGGTCTGTAGACCCTACTCAATGTCGCCTGTCATTGTTGCCGCCGCTGTCAGCTGCCTAATTTACGGCTTTGTCATTACCACGTCTACTGTACTCAGACACCCGAGTTTACGGTGCTTTCAAATGTCATCGTAGCGTCAGCAAGGCCTGTTATAATAGAAACTTCTGTGTGAAGGTCATTGTTTATTGGTTCGAGGAAATCCTCTGCTCTTTGTTGACTTAACACGTTATTTAATTGGACCAACATGTAGATTTTTCACTTAATTAAAGGTATAATCGATATCACTGTCCTAGATCGGCTCGGTGCACGCTGACGTGCTGTCAAACTTAGAGCGTGATACGATTGGCCATTTACAGTCGCGTTACTCGCCCTATATAAAAGAAATGAAAGGGTTTTGCTTCTATTCAGAACATACTCCTATTGTTTCATTTTACTTATAGACAAATTAAAAATTAATACTTCTATACTTTAATTGATATAATTTGGTTCCGTTTGATAAAAGTTCCATTTCTATTTTGTAATGTACAATAAAATCAGTAATTGTCCCTTTGCTGGACAAAGGCCTCCTCCGTACAGGTGTTAAGACATATTCCACCACGCAACCCCATTTTGGATTGGCAGACTACAAATATTTTCGGAGTTTGTTGATACGTCACCTGATAAGTCAGCACTTAAAATTGAAGTTGGTGCCGACAACTTCATTAGTGCCGACACTGGGACTTCAACTCAGGTTGCTTATTGAATTAAAAGTGAGAGTTCGGAAGATTAAAAGAAAAACAAATAATTTGTTTGTCTATAACTAAAATTATACCACATATTTTGAAAGCAATTTCTTTACATAAATTCACAGAGGATAATACAATTACGCCGCACAGGGCACTTTCGGACAAAGTTGAAAGGGGAGCTTTCGACCTTCGTACAGTGGTCCCCTAGGAGTGTGGTCAGCTCTGAAAGGCTTATTCGGTAGCAACCTAAATTCGAGGACGGTTAGCGGCTTACGAAATAGTAGACACGAAATTGGATCTCGTACAGTTGGACCTAAAACCACTTTAAAGTATATTTTATGGAACGGCGCGGCGTTAAATGGGAAAGTGTTTCCTTTCAGCCCGACACAATTTACTTTGATTGCTAAACAAAAGATTTACTGTGTTGACGTTTATAAATCTTAATTATCATAAACGATCTTACGATTAAATTAATAAATTCTTACAAAATCAATTAAACATTAACCGTTAAAGTTGACAGAAAAACATGAACAACTTACGAAAAAATGGTAATGTTTTACATAAATGAATATAGACCAAAAGGAGTTCCAGTATTCATTTATGATAAATTGATTATTTTATTACTTTATAAAAGATCATATATAACATCGATATTTTTATTTTATTTTTCTCGATAATTTTAAAAATAATATAACTGTTTTAAATAAACTGTAGGCTCTTCTCTTGCTGCGTCAGGCGTGCATATTCTGTTGAGTTGAGTTCGGTCAAAGTCGCATGTTGATGAAGACCATCTCGTTTTCTTCTGAATGAAAAGTTGTCAAGCAAGCAGGCGATCCTGATGTTAAGTGAATACCACAGCCCATGGGCATCTATAGCACCTGAGAGACTTGCAGATGACTGAATTGTGGTTGGGCCAAGCAGTAACTTCTGCTGTTAAACTAACTGGTACCTTACGAACCTATACACATAATCTTTGATGTAAAATTTGACGATTCATAAGAGCGCGCAAGCGTCTATTTGAATAAATATATTTTGATTTGATTTTGATTTTGATAATGGGCTCGTTTCGGGAAGTATATACTTTCGCATTCACATTTGCGAGTGAAGTAACCGGCGCGCACTTGACTAATGGTTGGCTTGGCTTCTGCAACCTTTTAGGTGTTGTATATGTCCATGGGTGGGGGGAATCGCAAAACCGAAAACCTAAGGGTAACGCGAGTAGAGGGAAGAAGGAGACATTTCTTAAAGGGTATTAATATTAAAATGACATATGTTTAATATTTACAAATTGTTTCTTTAGGACCACTTTGCGGAGGGCAGTGTTGCGGCAAAAGGCGAGAGACGCACCTGAACGATGTCCTTAAAAGGATGACGGAGGATCGAGCGATTTCAACTACAAGACCGTTATCAGAGCTGCTTCTTGCGACCAGGCGAACTTTGCAAGGTAACTGAGTATAAGGTATTGGCTTCGGCGTCGGGGGTCGTGGGTTCGATCCCCACACGGGACAACTATTTGTGTACCCACAATATAGTTGTTTCGTATCTGGGTGTTTGTCCGCGTGAAATTTATGTTTGTAAAACGTCCTTACAGGGTAATGTTAACCTAAAGTAAGGGCAATGTTTAAAAAAAAAAGTTAAATTACAATATCATAAAGAAAACAAAGGACCATCGTGTGTGAGACCTTGTGCGTTACATCAGCTTTCACGTCTTGAAGCATGGCGTACCAATGGAACTGAATACAAATAAGTATGGCTGAACTAAAATAATTCAAAAAGTCTTGAAAATTCTAATACAATATGTATGACAAATTACGTCCATATTTTAAACGTATTACTTTAAAATATCATTTACATTTTGATAAACACTCAATTAGCGAAGCTTGTGTTGCTATATATAACTACTTGAGGGTATGTGTAAAAATATATAAGTCGAATAAACGCGACACGTTGGCGGCACGCCCGTTGTAAGCTTCATGATAATAGAGAAATGGCATACGTAGATCCGTAGGCAAACAAGACAGTGTATTTAACATTATCGCTTTCTTACTAACTTCACTTTACTTTACCTGAAGTTTTTGCATGAAATCCATAGACAAAGCTTCATAGCACACAGTACCTTGTGTAAGCGTTGTGGTCTCGCTGAGTCGCAGGTCAGGACGAACTGTTCGGTATAATCCTTTTCCTTGCACTGTTTAAACTTGAAACTACTTCCATTTGTGCGATCCAATGGTCTCTTAAGGATGGGCTGATTATGCACGATAACCTAGGATGTAAAAAACTAATACTTCACCATTACAAGAATAACAATTCAGTGCTCAATTATTTCTTAACCATAATAATAAATGGCATACACAATATATGTAAATAATTGTCCTGTACTCACAATAAAAATAAGTCGAACGGAATCGAAGACGTTTTACATATACATTTATTAGAACTAAAACAGAGGGTATTATCAGATAAAGTTAAAATATACAACAATTGTTTATAACGAGTTCAGATGTGTTCAGTTATTTTGGATATTATATACCTCATTATTTCTAATGGGTATGTGCTCACTGTTATCGAAAGGCAAAATAATTTTATATTATTTTAGTACGACTTTTCTTAGAGCGAAATCAAAGAGCATCTTGTTTACGCTACTACACGGATAGAGATCTTCACTGAAAAGCTATTAGAACATTCTAATATTGTTGTAATGGTACATAATTTTCAACCTACTTAAAAAATGGAGTATGTTCTCAAGTCGGTTGTGGTTTGTATTTTCTCAGAACTCCCTCATTTATCAACCAATTTTACAAATTCTAGTCGGTGAGATATTTCAAGTCAGTTTTGTTTTTTTTGTAATATGTAAAATTATATGTTATGTATATTATAATTTTACGTAATATTACATTTTGAAGTCAAGTTTCTTATTCTGTAATTATGACACCAGTGGATCTTATACCCCACATATTTAAATTAGACCGATGTAAAGTTGTTTGAGAAAGTAATCATTTTGAAACCATATCTTGAATTTTTTAAATTAAATTTAACAACGCGTTCCGGTGAAAGTTCCGTTCCTATGAAACAAGTAATTACTCAGGGTGTCGAAACGTTAATTCAAATTAAATTAATCAATAATTCAAATTGCCAATAATTGATTCAAAACAACATTCACAATGTATCAGTAAAATATCATTATGTTGTGGTGGTAACATTTTGTTAGATGCAACTATCTTACAGATTTTACGGCGTTTATTCAAGTTTTAAAGACTACATATACACACATAGACAGACACGCAGACACCACATACAATACAGACATAGTCTACACATAGACATACAACTATGTGACAGACCATTGGAATAACATTTGTTGAAAGGTTAGGGCGGACCTTATCGCAATGAACAATACAATGCGGATAATATGCCTCTGTGTCCATTCATTCGACTGGTTAGTGTTTGGAATGCGAGACCCTCCTAGGTGGAGGGTTGCTACGGTAATTTCTAAACTAAACATTTTAGTGTTTATGTTTGCGGACATTGTAAATAGTTGTAATGGTGTCCGGCGGGCTTTGTCCGCAAAATGTCTCTAGTGTCATTGTGTGGTGATTGTTTGCTGTACAAGAGAGCTTTGAATAGCGCGAGAGTTGTTAATTTACTCGGTGAAATTGTATGCGGTCATAGCAGTTTGCGGTCTGGCGTACGCTGCCAATTATAAATGTTTTCTTCATTTTTAGATTAACGCGGCATGTGAAAATGTTTGTGATTGTCTTTTTGATCGCCCTTTTCGAATGTGCTATTTAGTAAAAAGTAAGTGAGACAGTATATTTGTCTAATATCCCATTCTTTTAGGCTAGATTTTTGATAACAATGCCATGTCAATTAGAAAAAAAGCTGTCGTTTCAGTTTTTCCATTTTACAAGGATCCCGAATAAAAGTAAAAAGTGAAGTAACAGCCTATATATATTTCACTGCTGGCCAAAGGCCTCCCCTTTTACAGTCCCCTTTTACAGAGAGTATCAGGGCAAAGTCCGCAACGCGGCCCCACTGCGGATTGGCGAACTTCACATATCTCTATCAAAAATTTTTTTTGTTATTATTTCGAAAATATGATAAAGTCATCACTTAAAATAAATAATTTCATTGGTGACGGCACCAGGGATCGAACTCAGGTTGCTCGAGTATATTGAATTAAAGGCGAGCGCCCAGACACTGAGCTATCACGACTCGTTGTTCTCGAATTCGATTATTTAATTGATTAAATTATTTCCATGGTACAAGAACGTCATAAATACATATTCAGAGTCATGTTGAGGGTAACTAGTACTGGTAATAGACAATTCAACTACAGAGAAATTATTGCGCGTTCTAGTTACCTTAGGGTTAGTACTATTACGATAATAATTAATTAAAGAAGTTGTTAATGTGACGTTCAAGTCGCCGTACCTACGAAATTATGAAAAGATTACGGAAATACCTGCTGTATCACATTTCGATAAAGCTGAGATTTATATGCGGGGCAAGGTTTCGTAGAATCACATGAGTCATAATCTGATATTCGTTGCGTTCCGTCGAGTCAGTTCCATTAACAGATTAAATGGCGAAAATGATATTATGAAGAGTGTACGCCTACAAGGTATACATATCAAATCCGGGTGTCCCTTTCAACTCTGAATGTAGGCGATGTGATGAAATGTGCCTTTCAAGTGTCGTTAATTGCGCCCTCTTCGTAATACAAATATACATTAATTTATGTTATAATTTATTAATGTATGAGTTGCTGAATGAAAGAAACTGAAATAAATATATATATAGGTTCTCGAGTGGCAGCCTCGTACTGGCCATCGCAGTGTAGGACGACCCCCCACTAGATGGAGTGACGACCTGTGCAAATGTGCGGGAAGTCGATGGATGCAGGTGGCTCAGGATCGTACTTCGTGGCAGTCTATGGGGGAGGCCTATGTTCAGCAGTGGACTCAAACAGGCTGAAATGATGATGATGATGATATATATTTGTTGACTCCGTGGCGCAGCTGCCAAAGCTTGGATTCGGTACCGGGGATCGTGGATTCGATTCGCATACGGTACAACTATTTGTGAGACGCACCGACAACTGTGCCGGATCGAAGTATTTTTTCACGTGAAATTTAACTTACACCTTTAAACGACCAATTCTTGTATATATATAATCGGAATCTCGGAAACGGCTCCAGCGATTTTCATGAAATATAGTATGTGCGTAGATTCGGGGGCGAAAAATCGATCTGGCTGGGTTTCATTTTTAGAAAATGTTGTTTTATCCCAGTTTTCAGGGAATGAAAAATGTCATTCGAATACGAAGGTAAATTTGACCGAAAAAAAAAAATATAATTATTCGGCCGGTAATCGGGCGGCGCCGAAACAGATGGCCGTGGTTCGTGTCACGATCATTTACACACTTATTTTTTTTCGAATCCATATCATTGCTTTCTTTTTTTTATTTTTTGTCGTTCCAGATGATTTTGTTATTTTTATCCCTTTTTTTTTAAAGTTCTTTCTTTTGTGAAAAACATCAGTTCATATTTTCTTATTATTACGTCGGTAAGGTTGAAAAATATTATGCATAATTCATTACTCAGTAATTTGTATCTAAATAATCAATCTTAATTTCCAAAATACATGATTTACCAAAAAAAAAAAACAAACCAAGTCCTCCAGGTACTGTTTGTAAAACACTAAAACAAAACAGGATAATATTATACTAAAGTAAGGGCAATGCTTTAACGAAATATAAATAGAATAGAAAAACAGAAAATAAATAAATGTATTAAACCAGAAGATATATTATTATGTTTATTTATTAATTAGGGAGTTTTTGCAGTTTATTGTTACATTAATGATATTTTGAAGTCCATTATAATAAATTTTATATAACGAGACTATATTGAAATGGAGCAATAGTTAGTATTTCAGATTAATATAATACAATAACTAAATATCTACAATAACTATTAAGTACTATGAACAACCATTAATATCTTTGGACACACAAATATATGTAGTTAAATTTATATCTTTAATGATTGTTCTAAGAAATGTTACCGTATGATATGCGTCTGACCCTTTATAATAATCTATAAAATTCAAAAGCAATTTATGCTTAATTTCAAAACATGATAATTCTTACAACAACAACAGCTAAAAACATTATTTACTTAAAGGAGGCCTACGCTCATCAGTAGGCCGTAAAAAGATGCACTGGCCGTCTTGCAAAGTGCTTTGGTCGCTTTTAAAAACAAATTAAATACGAATGACTCGTTATTACTGGCTGACGCCATCAAAACTCGTCAGATGCAACTGTTATTAAAGTATTTAAGTTACATATTTACCTTACAACTTTTTGTTGTCCTGAGATATAATGCGCTGTGAACAACAAACAATCGGAATTAATTTTATTTGCAAACATTGTTTTGTGATGTT